GACCGTGATCTCTGGCATTCCTGTCAGGACATTAGAAAGGACAAAAATCAGGAATGTCACATTTTTCTAAGATGAGGCCACTGCAGAATCATTGTGATGTCATTTAATTAATGGGAACAGTCAAGCCTTTGATGTTACAATTTGTGCCATTTAATTTAGATTTGTTTTCTTTATGCATAACACACACATATTTTTATATATACTAATATGTATATATATATATGCATACTAATAATATACATAAAAACTATGTATAATATTAAATATAAAAATATTATAAATATTTTATATATTATATATAAAACAATATTTGTATGTTATGCATAATGGCGAAATATATTTATTGCACAGCAAAACTGTAACATCACAACACTATGTATATCAATATTACATCAATATGTATTATAATATTTTGATAATATGTTTATCTGTGTTTTATGATCATTTGATGATATATATTGTCATTATATAGGCCATATAGGGCAACAGCTTATGGTTGCCTAATATCATCTCCCCTGTGATGATGGTTTTACTCAGAAAATGCTCATCTAAAACGGCATCATTGTCAAGAATTAACTATTATACACCTTTAGACACATTCCTGAAAACTATGACTGAGCGTGAAACTATGAGGCCTCGTTAAGCGTGTCTCACGAGCGGCTGAGCGCTGAGATCATCATCCAGGAGAACGGATGAAAACACGTCGCCTACTATTGTTCCTACATTTTTTCCATTTTAATTAGCTTATTTAATAACAATAATTGCACAGAGAATAGTGTTGGTTTAATCTAATGAAGACTGCACAGAATAAGCAGAGGGACCGTGAAAACCAAGAGTGAAATTTGAGTGAAACTGCATCAAAGTCTCCAGAGTTATGCATTGGCCCAGTTCATTTACAATCAGTGCACTGTGATGAGAGCGTGTGATGGCATTGAATGAGACGTAAACTGGTCATTTGAGCAGCAAAACACTGACCCCTCCTGGTCGATCTGTGTCATGTAGTCCAGAGAGAGTGTTTAACTGTTCAATGTGACACATCTAACCTTTTTTTGTATCGTATTCTTAACTCTAACTTAAGTTTGAGGGCTGTCAGAAGGCGTTTTCCCGCCTGGAGAACCTGAAAATCCATCTGAGGAGCCACACGGGCGAGAAACCCTACGTGTGTCAACACCCCGGGTGTCAGAAAGCCTTCAGCAACTCCAGCGATAGAGCCAAACACCAGCGAACACACATCGACACGGTGAGCGGAGCCCGAAAACCTCATGCAGGGTTCCTACACATTTTCCATCTCAAAATTCTATACTTTTCCAGACTCAGATTTCCAAACCTCTCAGTAGATTTTCAGACCATATTTAACATAAATGGTTCATAAAGCACTATTTTCAGCTTCTCAAATATCATCTGTAAATATTTTTATTTTTTCAGGGTTCTTTACATTGATTTTCTCTAAGTGACTTTTGCATGCACACAAGAAACTTTTTTTGTGCACTCGAGAAACTATTCACATGCGCATGGGAATTTCTAGCTTTATATAACCTATTTCCTTTGTGCATCACTGCCATCTAACTCATAAAGTGAGAGCATGAATGCACATGAATTAATAGAGATTTGGCTTTCCTTATGGTACCTCTAATATCAAGGACTAATGTCCAATTTAGCACATCTGCAGCAGCAGAAAATGTGCATTGTCCTATTTGCCAAGTTCAAAGGTCCATAAAAAAAGACTGGTATTGTAAAAAAAAAAAAAAAAGTGTTCAAAATGTGGCTTTCGTTAGGGCTTTAGGTCTCTTTAACGCATATTAAGTGGCGGCCAAGACACCACACTGCTAAATGGGCTGATAGGTTCAGTGTGCATTGTCCTATATGCTAAGTTTAATGGTTTCTCGTGCACATAAAAGTCTATATTTTTTTATTTTTGCAAAGGTCCTCGAGGCTATGTCATATGGAGCTAAGAATACCGTGAGAAGAAACCCAAAACACAAAACATTTTTGCATAATTAAAAAGTGCACCTTGAATTCATTCAGTCGTGTTTGACGATCACTAAAGAATCACTAAACAGCTGCCATGAAAACACTTCTTGTATGATAAACTTAATTTCCTTTATAAAAAACTAAATGAGGGCAAAAGTCTGGAAATGCAAATATTTTTCCATACTCTGCTTTATTTTTTCCATACTTTTCCAAACCACGTAGGAACCCTGCTCATGAAACTGTCACGCGAGACGGTTTCCAGAGTCTTTCCGCGCAACACACCTGCAAACACCAGGCAGAGACGTGTGCACTAACAGGTTGTGTCTCTGCAGAAACCCTACGCGTGTCAGATCCAGGCCTGCGCCAAACGCTACACGGACCCCAGCTCTCTGCGCAAACACGTCAAATCACACTCCTTAAAGGAGCAACAAGCCCGGAAGAAGGTACGAGGATCACCAAAACACTTATAGTTATTAATCCTAATGTCATTCCAAACTCTGATGCTGATCTATTTTTTCATGCACCACAAAAAGGAATATTTAAATAAAAAAAAAAACGTTTGGAATGACTAAGATTGTTTAAAGGGGTCATATGATGCGAGTTCAAGTTTTCCTTTCTCTTTGGAGTGTTACAAGCTCTTGGTGCATAAAGAAGATCTGTAAAGTTGCAAAGACTAAAGTCTCAAATCCAGAGATATTCTTTATCCCACATTTAATTCTGTTACTTGCTCTTTCCATTGAATTATTTGTGAAATTGATCAAAAGCTGAAGAAATTGAGCAAAGCTGAATTTTCAGCATCATTACTCCAGTCTTCAGTGAATCCTGAAAAATAAAATGTATCACAGTTTCCACAAAAATATTGTGCAGCACAACTGTTTTCAACATTGATAATCAGAAATGTTTCTCGAGCAGCAAATCAGCATATTAGAATGATTTCTGAAGATCATGTGACACTGAAGACTGGAGTAATGATGCTGAAAATACAGCTGCGCATCACAGAAATAAATTACAGTTTAACACATATTCACACAAAGTTATTTTAAATCAAAATAATTTTTTTCACAATTTTTACTGTATTTTTAACCAAATAAATGCAGCCTTGGTGAGCAGAAGAGACTTCTTTTACTATGGTGTTTTTTGTCCTTCTTGGAGTTTTCACATCTTTTGTACGTAAACAAAGACTTAAAAAAAAAATCCTTTTGTGTTCCACTGACAAAAAAAATAAAAGCATATAGGTTTGGAAGACGAAGGTTTTTGTGTAAAGGATTGCACAACACAAGCATTGTCTCACAAAGAACAAACACAGAGATGTGCGTTTGTGACACAAAATACCTAACATTTGTCAAGAGGGGTGTTGATTACGAAGTCTCTAAACTTGTAACTTGTTAGCAGCCTTGTTAGGATCCGTTCATTATCACGGAGGAACCAAATAAAGGTCACGTCACCATAGATACAGATTCCTCAGGTAGACGTTTCTAGGAGAGAAAAAATAGTGCAGCACATCAACCTGCGCCTCTGCTTGTTCACGATCTGTCCAGTGTGTATACATTCATTTCATTCTCATCTATGATTATTATGAATTACTCAGAATATACTGTATTCTTAGACACGCTAAATATAATCACGCAGGTCGACAGCTCCAAACGCTGCAATATTTGAAGCTGTGATATCAAACCATATGCTCATGATTAATTACAGCATATTCCGCTCAATTAAGCAAAAGATTAGGAGCCGATTATCCGAGCCATTATCTCCACTTGTTGTCATCTATTTGCTTTAAACTCGATTGGAAAGTAAATGCAGTCTTAAATCAACATGAAATCGAATTGGACATCATTTTCTTTTTCGGTCTTATTGTGAACGATTTATTCCAAATATGATTTATCATTTTTTTCTCAAATCATAACTGAAATGACTATCTATTTCAGCATCTAAGCTGCAAAATAGGTATTTACACTTAGTTTTAGCATAAAATTCAGGTTCTCCATAATTCTACAGTAAATAAAATGGTGTAGGATTTACTTTGAAACAGTTTTCACTCGGAAATTACATTTAAATTTCATAAATAATTATATGGAAAGAGTAATCAGAAATAAGTAACAATTAAATGTGGGATTTTTAGGTAGAAATATAATTTTCTTGTAAAATGTACTCTAATAATCTAATTACAACTTCACAAAAATATTTTTTACAGTGTACTTTATGGGCAATTTTTACAGTCCAATAAGTTTCTCATTGATAAAATCAGTAACACTTAAAGCATTTATGTATAATGCTTCATAAAAGTATTCATACGGCATGTTGTAATGCATTCATAAATAATTGTAACCAAATATAAAATGCATTATAATATTTGAAGTTTTTTTTGTCATGCATTTTAATGCATTGTACTTTCTAAACGCGTAACAATGTATAGATAAGTATTATAATGTATTATAACTTATAAATTATAAATTGCTTACAATTATTCATGAGGTCATACAATGCATTATAAGGTGCTTCTATAATGTTTTCTACTTCTATAATGCATTATACTGTATATAGATGCTTTAAGTGAAGTGTTACCCTAAAATCCACCCTCAATCCCTCAGAAACAGTTGTGAATGCAGGTCATGTTGATTTTGTGTTTGATGTGATGTAGTTGAGACGCAGCACAGATCTCAGTCAGGACGGACTCACCGAGTGTTTGACGGTTCAGCCGCTGCAGCACAGCCTCGTGCCACTGGACCTGATTGAGACCAAGCACCAGTTGCCCACTGATGATCTCTACACTGGTACGAAACACTTATTAATACTTATATATGAGTTAGAATAACAGTGTAAGAGACCGTTCACACAGCATTTTTGCGTTCTGCTATAAGTTTTGCTCCATATCGTGTCTCTTCTTTCAGACTAGTGGAAAGAAAACACCCCAGATACACATTTAAGTGTTTCTTTTATTGCACTTTATCTATTTGCGTCTGTAGATTTAAATTCCGATCCATATCTTCAAAGTTTTTTTTTTTCTGGCACACACCAGATTTTAAAGTTTGATTCCTCTCTCTATACTCTGAAGGTTTGTTCATATTTCATTCACACTGATTTAAACGACATTTTACTCCTAAAAACATGGTGAAAATGTTTTTGTTTTCTGTCTGTTGACAGTATTTTCTGATTTATGGAGTGATAAAAAGAGAAATCCAAACTCTAATATCTCAACAAAATCAAACTATTTTGAATCTGGCTTCATCCAATGTTCAGATTTCTGTTCTGGAAATGCATGCAAATTAGTGCATATTTAATTAGATAATGCCTCGTTTGCATATTTAAACATAACATTTCTGAAAACTTGTAAACCAAAAATGTTTGCAATCCTTTAATTGGGGAAGTATGGTGAAATCTATTAGTGATTTTTTCACCCCATTCACTTTTGTTTTGCCTTTTGACATGGAAAAAAAACTAATTTTAAAACAGTTTGAGACATTGCAAAAGATGCAAACACAGCGTCCGTCCAGTGCATATTTAAATAGAAAAACACTGGAAAAGCAGTGCAGTGTAATGCAAAAAATGCATTCTGTGTAAACTTTCAGTATATTTTGGTTATTTCATTTCTTTTTTCATTGTAGTGATGGCTAATGGCATCTAATCTTACCACTGTTTGACTCAAGAGTGATGATTTTCTGTTTTGTCTTCTGTCAATGTATAAGTCTTCACCCTAAACCAGAGTGCGATGCAGATCCCAGCCGGTCCACAGACCCTTCAGACCCACATGCAGCTGCTGCCCTTACAGGGAAACAACAGGTAGAAAAACTTGATCAGTTTTCAACGAATGACATCCAGCGTTTTGAAATGCATGAGTCACGGCATTTAACTTCTGTGAAAGTGAAAAAGAATATTCAGTGGGAACTAACTTCAGCTATAATATTACTGCTCGAAGTCAGCGTGAACTCAGATTTCAGTCTATTTTCTAAATGTACATTTAACATTTAATCCGTGCAGGTTTAATTTTTTTTTTTAAATGTTTTGAGCTCGTAATGTTAAATCAGAATATCATAACTGGATCTTCTCTCTGCTGACGTATGTAGGATTTCACCAATCATTTAATGCACTTAAGCTCCGCCCCTGCAAGCTCTGAGAGCCACGCCCACATCTCAACATCCAATCAAAAACCAATTAATAGAACCAGGCCCCACCCAACATGTTTTATTTTTCTGATAAGCCAATACACTTGGATGTACATGAAAATACGGATAAAGAAATGTTTTGTCACTACTTCCGTTTCATGAAGACTTTAAGATTCCTGTTCCCTAACTATGCGGCCTTACAGTCATAGCCAAACGTTTTTGCAGTGACAAATTTTGTGTTTTGCAAAGTTTGCTGCTTAAGCTGTTGTGGTGTTCATTCACAGCATTTCTAGATTATTGTGTAGAGTGATCAGATGCATTTTAAATAATTGCTAAAAGCTTCATTCACAAAAAAAAACGTTTTTTGATCCTGACACAAAATGACCAGCTAACATTAATTGACTAATCATATCAGCAGCACATGTGAAAGTGTGAATGAGTACTAGTCAGGTTAATCACTATCATACTAATTAGATGGTAAGAGCAGACTGATTGCTATAAAAGGAGGGAAGAAGCGCTTCCAATCATCGTGTTCTTGTTAGCAATGGTTACCTCCAAAGAAACACGTGCAGCCATCATCGCTTTGCATCAAAATGGCCTCACATGCAAGGAAACTGCTACAAAGAATATTGCACCTGAAAGAACCATTTAGCGGATCATCAAGACCTTCAAGGAGAGAGGTTGGACTGCAGTGAAGAAGTCTTTAGGACGTCCCAGAATGTCCAGCAAGCGCCAGGACATCTCCTCCTGAGGAGTCAGCTACAGAATCGTGTCTCCAGCAGTGCAGAGCTGGCTCAGGAATGGCAGAAGGCAGCAGAAGTCTGGTGCAAAGTTATTTTCTCTGATGAAGCTCCCTTCCGACGGTTTGGGACATCTGGAAAATCGATTGTTGCATCCTGAGACCATCCATGTGTGGGGTTGCTTTTCAACCGAGGGAGTGTTGTCTTATAATTCTTCCCAAAAACACTGCCATGAATAAAGAATGGTATCAAAACGTCCTGCAAGAGCGACTTCTTCCAGCGATCCATGAGCAGGTTGGTGATGATCCTTGCATTTTCCAGCATGATGGAGCACCGTGCCACAAAGCAAGAGTGATAAAGAAGTGGCTCGAAGATCATTACATTGAAATTTTGAAACTGTGGCCAGGCAACTCCCCGGATCTCAATCCCATAGAGAACCTGTGGTCAGTCCTCAAAAGGCGAGTGGACAAGCAGAAGCCCACATATTGTGATAAACTCGAGAACTAATAAGGCAATAATTGGATCGCCATCAGTCAGGATTTGGCCCAGGAGCTAATATCCAGCATGCCAGAGCGAATTGCAGAGGTTATGAAGAACAAGGGTCAACATTTATGTCACTGCCAAAACGTTTGAATTCTTGTCATGACTGTACATTAAAGGTGACATATAATGAAAATCTGACTTTTCCAGGTTTTAAGTGCTATAATCAGGTCCCCGGTGCATCTACCAACCAAGGAAACGTGATAAAGATTAACCCAGTAACTTTGTTTTGGTAAGCCTTTTTTTGCAAGCATCTGAGAAAACGAGCGCGTCAGATTTCGCCCCCTTGGTGACGTGGCAAAGGGATCTCATTATAATATTACCGCCGCTTAATCTGTAAATTTCCACCCACGGCGCCGTCATTGTGTTTTTTCACAAACGACAACGGTGTACCAGGTCTAATGCCATGGCAAAGGTTTGAGCAAAACATGCTAACTGTTCTGTCTTTGGCTGCACAGACGAGCACAGAACACTATTTAGAGTCCCA